TAGGAGGAACACACCTATTATCAAAATTGTAGAATAAGTAGGTGGGCATACTTTAATGATCTTGAATCTTGTCCGCGGTTTTCACATTACCAATAAAAAAAGTGTTTTTAAATAAAAAGGAATATTTTTTACTCGTTTTATTGATGATGCTCAATGAGCTAATTAACTTTGCATTAGAGTATTTTTTGAAAATTCAATTATTATCGATATAAGCCAAAATAAGTCAAACAGTCCAAGAAATTCACTGTGTTGATTGAAACATGACTGTAGTCTTCTTGGAAAGAAGACATGACTGTAATCTTCTTGGAAAGCTTCGTTCACTTTGATATGTTAATTATTTACGGTGAGATAAAATGTTACGCAAGTAATTGATTTGTATGCTGCACGCTTTCCAAACCCTTGTCATTTCGTAAAAGAAGTTTTTACACATTTGACGAATCGAGTACTATTAGAAGTGTTAAGGTTCAATCAAGACAAAATGTCATTATTACAAATGAAAATTTGTGTCTATTGACGTATTGACTGTAGTTATTATAATACAAATCCACATGTCTCTACAAGAGATATTGCTGGCGATAGAAATATTAGCCCAATCTTCTGTGTCATACTCAGGAAAAAAAAGTTCCATCTATATTGTATATCGGTACTCCAAGAACTCTCTTGCAGAATGATTTTAACATGAGAATCCATTTCTATATATGGACTCAAAATAAATTACAAAATCCTAACTTTTTTCGATTTGTGTTGTGGTTAGATAAAGTAACACTTAAAGGCTCATTTATACAACTTTGTAGCGCCACAATTGTAAGCACCGATTCGTTCATATGGAGCAACTTTCTGATGCTACAGAAAAGTGTCGCGAATATGGACCAATTCGTGGCGCGACAAGAAACATTGCAGATGCGTTCAAATGGGCGAATTCGTGGCGTGACAGAAAAGCACTGCTGATGCGTTCAGAGAGTCATTTCGTGACGCGACAAAGAATCATCACAGGTCCGTAATATTTGATTGATAGAATTACATACAAATTCCGTGTAGATTTTTAGCACGCAATTTTACACTGTACATTTACACATTACGTTTATACATGAATAAGTCAAAATAAAAAATTAAGTTTATTTATTGACTCATCCATCGTACATTGCATATTGTAGATTTTAAGAGAAAATCTTCTTTGTATCTCGGGGAAGAATGCCGCCATTGATACTGAACGCTTTATAATTAAAATAGAGGCTTCTGTTATCTGGTACACTAAATGCAGAGTACAGTAATAAATTTAAAAAATGAAAGCATGGGAAGTACTGTGTACATTATTCACGGAATGCTTCAGAGACATGGACACTGCAAAAAAAAATCAAGCAGGTAAGATTTTGTTAAATTTTCAATTTTCTTAAATATTTAATGCCTAACATTTTCTCACTTTATATAAAATGAAAAAATTATAATATATAATTACGAACTTATCCAATTCAATATACATTGTTTGTAAATAATTATTATTTGATGAATTATAATTTGAACACGATCGATAAGAATAAATTTAATTAAGCAAGAAAAATACCTATTTTTAGTTTAAATAATTTGGTCGAAATTATAAATCAATAAATAATTAAATAATGAAAAACAAAAAACAAATATAAAAGTAAATAAGAAAAATAATAAGAATAAAATAAATAATTAAAGAATAAATTAATTTAATGATTAAACAATAAATCTACTAGTCTAATAACAAATATTTAATATCTAGAAAATCGGTATTATTCGAATTTTCAGCACAATTAACAGTCATTCGTTTAATAGCCGCAGTTATTTAACGTAAGTAGAAAAGTTTGAAAGATTTCTTCAACAGAGAACTGAATTTAATAAAAAAAATCCAAAAGTGATTCAGCCACTGATTCAAATAGGAAACAATACGTCTATTTTCAATAATTTTCCTTTCTAATGCCAGTAAGCGAAACGGAACCTCCAAAGTCTTTTGAAAATCAGAATAATGAATTAGAAAATGAAGCAAATACTTATCAAACAGTTACAACATCACCTAAAAAAAAAGGAAAATATCAGTAGAGAAGCAAATGCTTGATATTTTGATTTCTAATATGGAGAAAAGAAATGCTTTTACAAGCAAAAAACGATAATGATAGACTCTTTTTACTTTCTTGATGGAGCCATTAATAGGCACAATTTGCATTATTGAAGCGAAATCAACCAATACTGGATGGACTTATTGGCAGAAAAAATTATTGGCATTCAGTTAAATCATTATTTTTTTTAGAAATCTCTAACAATCGAGAGATTTGTTCGTTTTCTTAGAAATAATTTTGCAAATTTAGGAAGATATTTTGCTGAAAGATAGGGCTCAAATGTGGCTTCAGTTAGATGATGCACCACCCCACTTCAGTATAAATACGAAGCGAGAGCTCAACAGAATGTTCCCAACAAATGGATTGATGGTGGTTCTGCGTTATTCCCTCGAGATCACTCGATTTAACATGTTTAAACTATTATCTCTGGGGAAGAGTAAGGGAACTAGTTTATTTTCAATATCCTAGCACTTTAGAAAATATAAAAAAAAAAGAAAAAATATTTTTCGTAAAATAATAATTCAAGAATTATAAGAAGTCCAAGCAAATTTTTTACAAAAATTACAGGCATGTCTAGATCAACATGGCGAACATTTTTAACATTTATTGCCATGATAAAAAATTTGTTCCAAACTTTCAGTCTGACTTATTTTTATTTATATCTCGACAATATATAGTTGAATTTTCGAAAAGATACTTTAATAGAAAATTATTCAGTTCATTGAGCATCGATAGAACAAATAAAAAATTCCAATTAAAAAAATTTTTTTTTTCATAGTTACTTAAGGTCTTCAAAGTATATCCCCCTACTATCATATAATTTTGATAATGGGTGTCTTTCCTCTATCTCTAACTAATTTTATCTCTAATCTAATTTTCGAGAAAAACATGATGACCTTTTTATTAGACTCACCCTGAATAATATTAAGTACCCCATACCTACCTCTTCTTACGGGGAATAACGATTGAGTGAAGCGTGGTCCATTCCATCTTCCCCCTGCCTAGAGACATACAACTTCCCACGCGAAGCAAGGTTCAACCCACCTTCCTCGCTTGACAATATATGTCAAGGTCATCGAGGAGTGTATCTATGCATAATTATCCAATTTTAATAAAATATTGGGAGTATAAATAAGTTTCCGCCGTTTGACAAACAATGGCGCTACCAGTATGTTATAGTTAAAATTGTCAGCTGTAAAACGTCATATCGTAAAGTTGGACATCTGGCAAGAACATAACCTTGAAATATTAGCGATTTTGCATCAGCATCTTATATCTTTTTTCGTGCGAAAATGTCGAGTTTTGAGCCGAATAAGCATCATTTGCGGGAGCTTTTGATTTACTTCTTTAATTTGAAGAAATCTGCAGCTGAGGCGCATCGATTGCTTGTAGAAGCATATGGTGAGGCTGCCTTAAGTGAGAGAAGTTGCCGTGAGTGGTTTCAAAAGTTTAAGAACGGTGAATTTGACGTCAAAAACAAAGAGTAGCGGAAGGCCGAAAGTGTACGAAGATGCGGAATTGGAAGCATTATTGGATGAAGATTCGTGCCAAACGCAAGAAGCACTTGCACTTACATTAGAAGTGATTCAACCAGCAATTTCACATCGCTTAAAATCGTTGGGAATGATTCAAAAGCAAGGAAATTGGGTTCCATATGAACTGAAGCCGAAAATCGTTGAACGCCGATTTTTTACATGTGAAATGCTGCCAGGCATAAATGAAAGGGTTTTTTGCACCGTGTAGTCACTGGTGATGAAAAATGGATCCACTACAATAACCCAAAGGAGAAGAAATCATGGTGACCACCTGGCCATGCTTCAATATCGACAGCCAAGCCGAACATTCATGGGAAAAAGCTCATGTTGTGTATTTGGTGGGATCAGCTAGGTGTCGTTTATTATGAGTTGCTCAAACCGAACGAAACCATTATTGGGGCTCTCTACCGAACACAAATGACCGAGCACTCAAGGAAAAACGCGCCTATTACTACTCCAGACACGACAAAGTTATTCTTCTGCATGATAATGCTCGTCCACATGCGGCGCCGGTCAAAATCTACTTGGAAACACTCAATTGGGAAGTTTTACCCCACCCGCCGTATTCACCAGACATTGCTCCTTCTGATTACTACCTGTTTCGATCGATGGCGCATGGCCTGTCTGAGCAACACTTCACATCATATGAAGATACTAACAATTGGATCGATTCGTGGATAGCTTCAAAAGATGAAGCGTTTTTCCGACGCGGTATCCGTATGCTGCCAGAAAGATGGGAAAAAGTAGTGGCTAGCGATGGACAATACTTCGAATAAAACATTAGGTACCGTTCTTTCACAATAAATGCCCAATTTTTGATAAAAAACGGCGGAAACTTATTTATACTCCTAATAATTAAAATTTATATTTTATTCAATATTTTTATTATTCAGTATTTTAATCATCCTTTTTCGTTATAGCAATTCTTTTTTCTAATATTTATTTATTTTTTATTGGTTTAAACATACTATTGCAAAAATTACAAAATAGTACAAGACTTTTCAACAGATCGCCTAGTTTAATTTCATTGTATCTGCTCACGAGAGGTGATCCTGTCATTATCGGACACCTTACACATGTATATACACTGAAAAAAATTCCTGCAATTTTACATGGAAATTACATGTTTATAACTGAAACATTACCTAAATATGATTAGAAATGTATAATTTCCAGTAAATTTCCAGTCATATTTAAGTTATTTTTCGATCATGAACATGTAATTTCTATATAAAATTACATGAATTTTTTCAGTGTACATTTGATACAAACGCACGCACACACTTACATGCATATATACATATATACATACAATAGTATACACAGGATGTATATTAAGTATGCGCTAAAGATTTTAAGGAGTGATTCCTCACACATAGGGCTAGGCGATAGTATCGATTATATCAATATTTTTCTACAAAATAATCGATAATTTCAATCGACGTTATAGAATTAATTGATATATCAAGATGGATTTTTAATGACATCAATGTTGTTGCATAATATTACACTATATATATTCTGTATCCAACTTTTAGGGCTGTTAGAATTCTCATCTAAGTATCAGTTTATCCTTATTGTTCACCGATTGTTAAATAAGGTTAGCATAACTCCTGAGGAATATTCGGATGGGAATATTCCTCAGGTGAACGTGCCGTAAAAGACATACTAGTTCTTTTTGTTTTGAGTAATGAGATTGACACAACTCATAGTAGAATTGTTATGGTTGCATAACTGACGTTGCCAATAATGCCAATCATCATTTTTCGGGACAAAACTGTAATGTAAATAACAAATCAAAACTTTCATTTCATCTGTGTACGTTTATGACACAGTACATACAGTAGCGCAACTCCCTGTCGGCACCTTTGATGTTAGTGTTGGCCAAAATGGAGTGCGCATGCGTGAAATAAGCAAGTTACCTAGCGTTGCCATGGTTATCACCTAAACTTCTTTCTCTTTTCATCCTTTTTTCGCTCAGTCAAAACTCACTAGATTTATTCGCGTCGCACTCCAACAAATGCGTTGGAGTGAGTAAGAGCTGTTATAGAAACATACAAAGTAGACAAAGAGCATACAACGTATACAAAGGAATAAACCTACCATTACAATGAAATAATGTGAACTTAATGAAAATTAATAAAAATAAATTATAAACATATTGGAAAATAAAGAGAAAATGTAGAAAAATATTAGGAAAAATATTAAATTAACTTAAAAATGTATATTTTTGTATAAAGAAATATTATGTAATTATATATCTATGAAAATGTTATGAGAAAGCTGAGAGATATAAAATAAATTTATATACATATATGTCCAAAAAATAAATTTAAAATACAATAAATAAAAAAAGTCCTTTTTGCTCGATTTTCAATGTTACTTTTTGTTCACTTTTTCACTTTATCACTTTTTTACAAAAATTAGACTAATCTCTCGAGATTTCTCAAACAACATTTCACCAAATGGACAATACACGTAATACTTCCCTCTAAATTTTTATTCTGAACATGTATGCTTGAAAGACAAATGTTTAAGTGAAACATTGAAACGCTTATTTAAATAGAGAGAGAAAGAGAGAGAACAATAAAAAAAGGGAGGAAATGAGACGGGGCAACTTGCTTATTTCACGCATGCGCACTCCATTTTGGCCAACATAAAATTGGGAGAGTTGCGCTCTGTACGAGTATATACCGTGTTTATGCGTTATGCAGTGTTAGGGCCATGACACATAAAAAAATGTAAGTGAAACGTAAGCGGTAAGTGAATTGGCCAATTATAATGAAGACTATAAAGTCATAATATAAGTAAAAGCTAATCCAATATATTGATTTCCTTATTATAATACTTCTCATATAGCACCGATTGTTGCAAGAAACTTTCAGTAAGGTTTCGAAATCATTTCGACTTTTCACATGTCATATGCAACAATTCTGAAAGAATTTTGAAATATGTCATATGAAATGTTGCAACAGAAATATTTTTAAAATTGTGTTCACATGAAAATAATTTTACAAAACTTTTAATTAAGTTATATCTGAAATATTTCATACCAAAGAAGTTGCAAACCTTGCAATTGAGCTGTTTCTGAAATTTTTCACATGTAATCAATTTTAAATGTTTCAGTTGAGTTATTTCTGAAATATTTCACATGAAATCGTTTTGCAAACTTTTCAATTAAGTTGTTTTTCTGAAATCTTTCACATGCAATAAATTACACATCTCCACCAACAGAGGGCTCCGGCAGAGAGCATTTACTCGTAAACAAGAATCATCTGGGCGAAAATATAAAAAGTGCAGCATTTCGCCTGTAAAGTAATTTCTTAAACATCGCCCATTCCCTACTCACAAATTCAAGAAAACTTCATGTGACCATATATTTGAAATGGCTTAATTTCAAAGATATTGTCAAAGTTAAAGAAAAAACTTTTTTTTTTTCATTTCGATAATTATTCGAATTATAATATTTTGATAATTCGAGTGATTATTAACATTTTGCACGTGTATAAAGTTTCATTAAAATAACTTGAATGATTTTTTATATTAAAAAAAAAAAACAAAAATTGTAACACCTAGTAACTTTTTCAAACTAAGCTGTTTCCAACATAAGGTCCTATAAAATTTTTATCTTTAAATTTTCTGTGACGAATCATCATTCCTTAAAATTTTTTTACTTAGTATGATTTAGAATACATCCTCTGTGTGTGTATGTGTGCGCGTGCGTGCATGCGTGCGTGCGTGCGTGCGTGCGTGCGTGTGTGTGTGTGTGTGTGTGTACAGAGTGTTTGATAAGTAATAATAAAACTCTCGCATAGGAATAGAGTGGACTGAGTTGAAAGATCCTTTATCATTTTGCAATTTGTGCAATAGTTAATAAGATATCAATTCCTAAAAATCACCGAATATTAATTTTGAATCATTTTTTACTCAAATAGTATCAACTTTACCAAAAAATAGCAAGAGACAAAAATTGTTTATTTTCTTCTCAGAATTCTAACAATTTTTTATCAACTTTTTAGTACTGCATTTTTTTATTGGCAACTATTTTTACTAACATGAGAAAATACGGTAAAAAATTCTGAAAAAATTCTCAGGACTCTATGAGAAGGAAAACAATTTTGACACATGCTTTTTTCTGTAAAGTTAATAGTACTTGAATGAAAAATTATTAAAAACCAATATTTGGCGATATTTAATAATTAATATCTTTTTAATTATTGAAAATTGTAAAACAGTACAAGACTTTTCGACTCAATTGAGTTCGCTCTATATCTATGCGAGAGTTTCATCATTACTTATTAAACACTTTGTATATATATA